TAAAGAGTTCCTCAATAAGGAAGAAAGTCATGCTTAAATATATGATAGAGGACTGCTAGCAATGCAAGTTTCAAACAGCATACAAATTACATTGCTTTGTAAAGAAAATTTTTAATTGTTGAAGACTTTCTCGACATTATATTGCTAGCAGTTCTGCTGACTTTATGCGTAAAGAATTTATGAGCATAATGGGTTTGTGTAATAAATCAATACTTCTGTCTTAGATGTATGTATAAAAAAAATAATAAATGCCACAGCTTGGCAATGGGATCTTCATCTCTGCCGATGTAAGTTTATGTGTGCCCACAGGATATGATGCCATGTTTGCCTTATTGTAGAAAAATCTGATATTTCTAGATTGCTGCAGGACTAGACTTTTGCGAGCCAATCTTTTGCAGCCTCTGAAAGATATTGAGACTATAAATGCTCGACTGGATTGCTTGGTCAGTGTTGGCGTGGTCCTCAGTAACAGATTTAATCCAAACCTATACTATCTTTTTGAATTGAAGAAGTATTCTTGAATATTTAATCATGAATGTAGCATAAAATCAACCCGGCTCTCCAGTAATTGCCAATATGGAAATTCTACTCTGTGGTGATAATACTTACCACTATAGGATTCACTCACCTAAACAAGAATTAATTATGAATGTTATCCTACAAAAGGAGGGCGGCTTCGTTTGATTTTTTAAGTTTATTCTCCAAAGCTGGAAAAGATGTACAACCTTTCTGAAAAAAAGAAAAAAAAAAAAAACCATGAACTAGAATGTAAGGTGGGGAAGTTTGAATAAGAGTAAATTCACAATTTTAGCTGTAGATGTAATCAAAATGACTGTTTATGCTTATCCAGTCTACTTACTTGCAATTTTCTGCTGTTATTCGATTGCTTGTCCATGATTTAATTTCTCATGTTTAATAAGTTTTGATATGTGTCTTATGTATTGAAATGGGTTTTGCATCATCACATAAGTCAACTTTTGGTTCTGCATATGATGGTGGTACTTTGTTCTGTGACTTGAAAGACGTTAGTCTACGTTCTTCCCATGTAATCTTGTTTATCCTCAAATATTAGAATTTGAACTATTCTGTTTTATCTAATACTTGTTTACATGAACTAGCAAATAATAAGTTGACTAGTTCTATAAAACTAATTTTTCATATTTACATGGTCCATAAAATAAAAATGCATTCTATCAAGTCCTGATTTGTTTTCAACCGAATATAACTCCAGGATGAGTTGATGAGCAATGAGCAGCTGTTCTTTGGCTTGTCTCAGGCTCTTCGTAAGTTTCCAAAAGAAATAGGTAAGTGTACGAATACAATCAGAAAGAATAGAATTTATGCATCTTATACTTCTCAATGGCTGACTACTACTGTATTTTGTCTGATGCACACAATCTCTTGCTCCATATCCAGATAGGGTTCTGTGTCATTTCTGCTTCAAACCAAAAAGGGTTACCAATGAAGTTTTGGCCCTTGACAATTCACGGAAGAGCCAAATTCTGATATCAAGCATTATTCTTCTGAAAACGGCTCTAGAGGCGTTACCATTAGTGTCCAAGGTGATTGATTTCCCCCCTTTACATTTGCATATTTTATTATTGAGTCCATGAGTTTAGGAAATTCTTATGATTTCATCCCCATTAGGTACTTAAGGATGCTAACAGTCACCTACTTATAAATGTTTACAAGTCCATATGCGAGAATGAAAAATATGCTTTCATGAGAAAGAGGTATAATTTCTAGTTGCCTTCTTCTTTTAAATTGTATATGTTTATCTGCTGTGCATACTCACATAAGCCATTTTTCCTTTCCGATGAAGAAATTAGCTAGAAAGGATTTTGCATGTTGGATGAAGAATGACGTAATGAGAATTTTTGTTTACTTGTTCTATTTTTTGTCTCTCAAATGAATCTACTTGTTCAAAGCAGATTAAGGAGAATTGAATGGTAATATATATGTTTTGCATTCATGGAACGAAAAGTAGACCTCTTATCTTTCTCTACAAAATTACCAGCAAGCCACAAAGTATTTCTCTGTGCATGTTATCTCCTCTTCTTCCTCCAGCTGCTTCTACACCAGTAGTTTTAAAGTGAACAATGCTATTTATATCAAATTTAACCAGCTCTGATTTTTTTCTCATAATCTTTAGTGTCATGCATGCTCTGCTATATATGTGACCTTTCCTCAGCATCATTTGAAAAACAGTTTTTATTTCCAGCAAAAAGATTGATGATATATCAAATTGCCAGTACGAAATTTATTTATGTTTTTAATATGCATTGGAAGTCATTCCTTGTTTTAGGGAATTCTAGTTTTCTATCATGATTTTATCCTAATTGTACTATAATTATATAGGCTATAATTTTTACAAGAGGTTGATGGTGTCAGCCACTACCCTTTTGTATGTAGGGGTGGAATGCTGAGGTATTAAACAAGAATGGTAGTGAACTTTTAGCCTTGTCGTCATCTGTATAATTTGTGGTCGACTGACTGGAAATTCTTCATGCCATCAAATACAAAAAATTGGTCAAGTATTGAATGTGAAAGATATAAATGATATATATCTTGTAAACTAAGGTTAGTTAGAAATGTATCTTTGATCCGACTTATCTTATTTTAAATAGGATAATAACCTCATCTAGTGTGCACGTTCAAGGGTAACAGTTACATGTGGATGGCCAAGAACTCATTGTGCTGCAGATGATTAGTTTAGTAGTGAGGAGACTGACATTGGGCTGTCAGATTTGTTGGAAGGAAATGACCCATAGGGAGGTGACTATTGTTCACACGGTTGTGGTTGTAAAATGGAATGCTCCTTTATTTGATAGTTGATTAGTTATTGAAGATTTTGTGAAAGATTTCCTGAGATAATCTTTGTAATAATTGTAATTACCCAAATAGCCACTGAACTTTGCCAAAAGTTTCCAGGATGTCATTAACCTTCAAAACTTTCTTAAATAATCACCGAACTTTGCCAAAAGTTTCCAGTAGGTCACCAAATTTCAAGATTTCCCTAAATTGTCACTGAAATTTCAGATTCCAATTAAAATCGTCATACTGTATTGTCTTGATGGTAAACTTTTTTCAAATATTCCCACATACTCTTAGCAGTCTTATAGGGCCTTAGATTCAGAACAATCATAGGGTCAATGAACCCTAAAATCCAAGTCATAACACGAGCATCCTTAATTTTCCAGGTAGCCAATTCTTTAGGATCTGTGGGAGCAGAATCACCCCCATCGATGTGACCCACAATTCTTTCTCAGTGACGAATAAACGGAATTGAAATTTCCAGGTAGAATAATTTTTACCCATGAATTTTACGCCAAAAAAATCTGAATTTCCAATAGACTTTGTTAAAAAATAGAACCTAAGTCCAATTGAGTTAGTATTAACCAGCAACTCCAAAATTAAGCCAAAACTTTGAAGCCCAATTAATTTGGCCCAAATATAAAGGAACTTCAAGAATAGCCCCAAAACTTCCAAGCCCAATTAATTTGGCCCAAATAGAAAGGAAATCAGAGGTAGGCCCTTTTTTCAGACAACCCAATCTTATGATATCTCGATAGATACCTAATACAGTTGCGATCCATGCTCTTCAACTCCAAGACGTCGGAATTTGTTGATTTCACCACGAAGAAGTCCCTACTCCTAGACGCGTGCGCCTCCCGACACAGGACGCTGGAACCTGTTGATTCTATGAAGACTCCGCCACGAAAGTCGCCGGTAGCCAATTCACCGACACGAAAACTCCAAAAATCGATGACTACCACTATGAAATGATCCCCCAGGTGAGTCCTGAAACCAAGAGCTGTATTTACTGTAGAAGCCAAGAAATTACCGCTACCAGAAGAGTCCTCGTAGATCGAGGGCTCTAATACCATGTCAAACTCAATGATTTCTATTTTGAATGCCTCTTCATTTGAGAGTTCCCTTCATTAAATGTATAGAATTTTGCTAATTACAAGGCTTGGAATAACCTATTACATCATTACATGACTGAAAATCAGCCGTTTCACAAGTCATGTTAACCAAATATGGTATATACACTAATCACAGAATATCATGTCATAATTATCCTGCTAACATGATGTTCATCTCCAAGTAACTAAATTAGATCCCAAATCCTTAAAATATAATTTTCTAGGTTACTTTCATCAACAAAAAGGGTATCGATAATACTGTCCAAGTCTTAACAAGTATCTCGTGTTAGCTGGTGTTACCTTTCTAAAACATATTCCTTTCTTTCCCACATTTT